AGTGATTTGCGAGATTGAGGGCCGGGTGCTAGGGGGCATGCAGTTTGAGGTGCTGGTGGATGCTGCTTTGCGAGCTTGACGGCCGGGTGCTAGGGGGCATGCAGTTTGAGGTGCTGGTGGATGCTGCTTTGCGAGATTGAGGGCCGGGTGCTAGGGGGCATGCAGTTTGGGTGCTGGTGGATGCTGCTTTGCGAGCTTGACGGCCGGGTGCTGGGGGGCATGCAGTTTGAGGTGCTGGTGGATGCTGCTTTGCGAGCTTGACGGCCGGGTGCGGGCATGCAGTTTGAGGTGCTGGTGGATGCTGCTTTGCGAGCTTGACGGCCGGGTGCTAGGGGGCATGCAGTTTGGGGTGCTGGTGGGTGCTGCTTTGCGAGCTTGTCGTGCGGGTGCTAGGGGGCATGCGGTTTGGGGTGCTGGTGGGTGCTGCCTTGCGAGCCTGACCGCCGGGTGCTCGGGGGCATGCAGTTTGAGGTGCTGGTGGATGCTGCTTTGCGAGCTTGACGGCCGGGTGCTAGGGGGCATGCAGTTTGGGGTGCTGGTGGGTGCTGCTTTGCGAGCTTGACGTGCGGGTGCTAGGGGGCATGCGGTTTGGGGTGCTGGTGGGTGCTGCTTTGCGAGCTTGACGCCGGGTGCTAGGGGGCATGCAGTTTGGGGTGCTGGAGGGTGCTTTTGCCTTGACGGCCGGGTGCTAGGGGGCATGCAGTTTGGGGTGCTGGTGGGTGCTGCTTTGCGAGCTTGACGTGCCATGCGGTTTGGGGTGCTGGTGGGTGCTGCCTTGCGAGCTTGACGTGCGGGTGCTAGGGGGCATGCAGTGTGGGGTGCTGGTGGATGCTGCTTTGCGAGCTTGACGGCCGGGTGCTAGGGGGCATGCAGTTTGGGGTGCTGGAGGGTGCTGCTTTGCGAGCTTGACGGCCGGGTGCTAGGGGGCATGCTGTTTGGGGTGCTGGTAGGTGCTGCTTTGACGGCCGGGTGCTAGGGGGCATGCAGTTTGGGTGCTGGTGGATGCTGTTTTGCAAGCTTGACGGCCGGGTGCTATGCAGTTGGGGGTGCTGGTGGGTGCTGCTTTGCGGTTGCTACGAAGCATGCAGTTTGGGGTGCTGGTAGATGCTGCTTTGCGAGCTTGACGGCCGGGCTGGCGTCTGCTGGTTTGTGAGCTGGCCGGCGAGCTTGACGGCCGGGTGCTCGGGGGCATGCAGTTTCGGGTGCTGGTGGATGCTGTTTTGCGAGCTTGACGGCTGGGTGCTGCAGGCATGCAGTTTGGGGTGCTGGTGGATGCTGTTTTGTTTTTCGAGCTGGCCGGGTGCTAGGGGCATGCAGTTTGGGGTGCTGGTGGATGCTGTTTTGCGAGCTTGACGGCCGGGTGCTGGGGGGCATGCAGTTTGGGCTGCTGGTGGATGCTGTTTTGCGAGCTGGCCGGGTGCTAGGGGGCATGCAGTTTGGGGTGCTGGTGGATGCTGTTTTGCGAGCTTGACGGCCGGTGCTAGGGGGCATGCAGTTTGGGGTGCTAGTGGATGCTGCTTTGTGAGCTTGACGGCCGGGTGCTAAGGGGCATGCAGTTTGAGGCGCGGGTGGATGCTGCTTTGGTTGTACCGGGTGCTAGGGGGCATGTTTGGGGTGCTGCTGTTTGCGTGTAACGGTTCGTGGCTGGTGTATCGTCATGATGTTCCCACGTTATGGTGTGTTGGTGTAGTGGCGCCGTGATGCTGTCAACATCAGGATGATGCAGAATTTCATTAAGCTGTCGCGTTCGTGGCTGTGGTATCATCATGATGCTGTTTTTACCATCAGCATGATGCTGTTCGCATCACCATGATGCTGTCCGCATCATCATGATGCTGTCCGCATCATCATGATGCTGTCGAACTCATCAGGACCTCGTTTTTGCTTTTTCCTGCCGGATTGCTCTCAAAATCATCATTATGCTGCTGATCTCATTAGGACGTTGTCTGCGCGTTTGTTTCGTGGCTGTGGTGTCATCATGGTCTACATCATCATGATAATGCTGCTTCTGTCTCTGCTTATTGGGCGTCTTGGGCGGATTGCTTGCCTGTCCTCGGTCAGCACTTGCCGCCTGCGGCGCAAGCTTTCCTCCGTGACCTTGAGGCTCCGGCTCCGCACGTGCCGTGTCTTCGGGCTGCTGCCACAACACGCGCCGAGCTCAGCCTGGCGGACTGGACTCCCCCGAGCTGGCGTGAGCTCTGTGACGGTGTGCCGGCGCCGACCTTGCAGGAAGACGGGCCCTCCACCTTCGTTCGCGGATGGCAAGGGGCCGCGGCATCAGCTGTTGCCCGCCGCCAGTGTGAGCAGCTGCTCTCCACCTTGGACCCATCCAGCGAGGCCTTGCTCAGGTCGCAGCAGGGCCCCTTCGCCAGCCGCTTTTTGACCACCGTGCCCACGTGCCCCGCCCTGTCCTATCCTTCCCACTTGTTCCGCGTCCTCCTTCTCAGGCGCCTGCGCCTTCCGCTGCCACTTTCCCAGCGCTACTGCCGGTGTCGTCGCCCTTTGGACTCCCTCGGCGACCACCGCGCAGCCTGTGCTCGGGCCGGTGTCCTCCGGAGCCGCGGGTGCCCTCTCGAGCGGGCCGCCGCGCGAGTGTGCCGCGAGGCCGGGGCGAGGGTGACTTGCAACACCCGCTTGGCAGACATGAATCTCCAGGTCGATCGTGTCGACGACCGGCGGCTTGAGGTCGTTGCCAACGGCTTGCCGTTGTGGGGCGGGCAGCAGCTCGCCGTCGACACCACGTTGGTATCTCCCTTGTCCGGCTCGGGGCAGCCCTGCCGCCGGGGTGGTCGTGTTCAAGGCGCCGCCCTTGCCCTTGCACGCCGCCGCAAAGAGCGGGCATACCCGGAGCTGCTCCGCTCGGAGCGCTGCCGCTTGGTTGTCTTGGCGTCGAGGTCGGGGGCCGGTGGAGTGACGAGGCGGCCTCCTTTGTGCGCGCCCTCGCGCGAGCCAAGGCGCGAGAGGTGCCGGTTCGTCTCCGGTCCAGCCTGGTCGCTGTGCTTGTTGCCCGCTGGTCCGCACTCCTGTCCCACGCAGCCATGTCGGCCTTTGCTGCCACCTTCACCCAGCGGGCGGGGGCACTCAGCCATGCCGACGGTGCGCTCCCGCCCCTGGGTGAGCTTCTTGCAGATGCAGGTGAGGCGCCCCTCACCGCTAGCCGGCTGCCTGCCGGCTAGCTGCACTTCGCACAGCCGGTGGCCCCCGGGGTACAAATGGCTTGTGTGCCTCCCGTGCCCGGCGGCTCCCCTTAAGCAGGGTTTTCGGGGGGACAAACCAAGGCGATGGAGAAAAGGCGTGCGAAAAAAAAAAAAACGTCATGGTTCGTATCCGTGGTGTGCTATCTGGGGTCTATGCTGGTGTAATTTGCAAGATTATGGGCTGGTGCTAAGGGGCGTGCAGTTTGGGGTGCTGCTTTTTGCGGACTGGGGCTGTTTGAGGTGCTGATGGCAGTGCGGGCGCATGTTTTCAAGTTTGACGGTAGGGTGCTAGGGGGCATGCAGTATGGGGGTGCTGGCGCAGGTGCTGTTTTGGGGGTGACGGTGCACGCGTGTTTTTTCATCTTGACGGTAGGGTGCACGGGGGCATGCAGTTTGGGGTGCTGGTGCTAGTGGTGTTTTAGGATGCTGTTTGGGGAGCTGTTTGAGGTGCTGGTGACGGTGCAGGCGCAATTTACGATATTGACGCCCGGGTGACGGTGCAGGCACATGTTTGCATCTTGACGGTAGGGTGCAAGGGGGCATGCAGCTTGGGGTGCTGGTGCAGGTGGCGTTTTGGGATGCTGTTTGGGGTGCGGCTGGGTGTTTGGGGGGGTGCTGTTTGGGGTGCTCATAGGGTGACGGTGCAGGCTCATGCTTTGCGAGATTGACGGCAGGGCGCAGGGGGCATGCAGTTTTGGGTGCTGCTGCAGGTGCTGTTTTGGGATGCTGTTTGGGGGGTGCTAGTGATGGCGCGGGTGCTCGATTGACGGCCGGCTGCTGTTTGGGACGCTTTTCGGGGGGTGCTGTTGGAGGTGCTGGTGTGCAATCATTGCTATCTGGGGTCTATGCTGGTGTATTTTTTTTTGCTTCAGCAACACGACCCCCCACCCAAACAGGAAGTAGGACGGCGTGCTGCCAGTGCAAACCAAGCTGGAGGGAGCGCGGCGAGCCATCTGCTTGCTCCATTGCCATACACAAAGCGCCGTCTGCAGTGCAGCCTGGGCATGCGCGCGGGGCATTTGCAGGTGCTGCTGCAAGACGAGGACGGCCTGGAGCTGCTCGCGTATGCGGGCACCTGCTTGGCAAGATTCTTGCCAAAAAATGGGCAGACGTTTGTGTTGGTCGGGGCTGCGTCTTCTCCCCAACCGCATGAGGAGCTAGCCGCGCTCCTTGATGATGTTTACGTCGCCAGGAGCGGCACTTCTCTCAGGGGCAGTGAGCCGCTCCTCGAGTCCGACTGGTTGGGAATCTTGATTGTGCGACGGCCCTTGCGCTGCGAGCTGGGCCTGGACTACTGGCGGATCTTGTGGATCGGCCGGAGGCCAGTCTGGGGGCTCGAAGCCTCTCCAGCCTCAGATTCTGAAGGGCCGGTCACCGTCCCTTCGATCTCAAACTCGTCACGGCTTTTGCAGCTGAAAACGGCTGGCCTCTGGCTATCCGAGAAGCTTGCGCTCGGTCACTCCGCGTTCCTCGATGGTTGCGGAGCTTCCGCTTGGCCTCTGGGGCGCCTGCGCTCTTTCCTTGCCCTGGGCGGGCAGGTATTGGGCTCATGGCTCAAGCCCTAGTTCTTTACATGGTCTATACTGCTCACATGTACAAATGCTGAAGTGCAAGGAAAATTCACATCCGGGCCTATCCGGAGCCACCCCTGAGCGCTACGAGTTGCTCCTCGTTGATTTGGCTTGCCGGCGGCTTTCAGAGGACGGGGACCCTTTGATTCCAGGCCCACACGCCAGTCACATCAGCTGCAAGTTCCCAGGAGCATTTCAACGTACATGATTACAGCATATGTCAACAACATGTGTGTGATTTGCCTCGAGCCATGGAAAAGTGTCGGAGGCTGACGTTTGCACCTCAGAACTTTGCTAGTTTGCTTCGGCTGGTCTTGACTGGCTCGCTTTGGCTCGTTTTGGCACATCGCGTTTTGTGAAAGGCCCGTGCTGGGTGGTGCCATCACGGCCGGCGGCGTTCTGCTGGCAGCATCGGAAGTCAGGCTCGTTGCATGTGTGCAGAGGCTAGGTTCATTTCTGATGGCAAGCGTTTGCGTGCATTACATTGCATTTTCGGCTGGGCAAGTTGAGCAACCATAACCATGCTCGTACCCAGGCGCTTGCCCGAACCCTGCCAGGCCGGCGGGTCACTTTTAGCTTGACAAGACCTATGTGCGTTCAACTCCTTGGGGATTGGAAAGGGAAGGCCCCGCCCCCCTGCCACATGAGCATCGCCTCTTGCAGAACAAATGCATTATCTGATTTAGTTTGCCTGTGAGTTACTTAGCGGCTCTGATGTTGAAGCCTGGCAGTTCCCTGAGGTGGTCAAGGCGCACTTGGATGACCCGTTGGCAAGAGGCCCAGGTTTCCAGCCGAACTTTGGTCGCAGCTGAGCTGGTTGGTCTGAATTGCCAGCATTAGTTCCAGGACACGTGCTTTGATGGGGATTCGTTGCTGCACCAGGCCTGGTACCTGTCTGATGCTGGGATGGTTTGTTTGCGTCTGCGACAGTCATTGGTTCTTTGCTTGAGGTTTGGGTTTTTTGCCCATGCTTTTCAATCGCGTCTCGGGACGGGCCACCTTGATTCAATAGCAGGCGAACGGAAGCAACCTGTTTCTTGACTCGGCAGCTGGCCAGAACCTGGGAACGGTTCTTGCATAACTGCATGTTTGGACCTTGCTTTTCCAATCTGTGTGCTTAAAACCGATCCGCCTTGTTTCAGGGGACCTTTCGGGTGGTGGCTTGCCAAAAAATCACCACTTCTCAAGTGTTGAAAGGGCAAAGCAAGGCAAATGAAGAGGATTCAAGGAGCTGACATTTGGATGAAATCATCCAAGTGCCCATCATCCTGGTCTAAATGCGCCAGGATGGGCCAACCGCCCCGGTGAACATGTGAAAGCGTTGTGATTTTATATGATAACAACGTGCAGCCAGAGGGCAAGGAGGACTGACAAGTTTTTCCAGCCAGCCGCGCTTGAAACAGCCGCATTTGAAGGCCCTGCATGATGAGATCTGAGGTTCAGAATGGTTTGGGCTTCGTTTATGCGCCCTGGAGCATCCGGCTCTGGCACGGACAGGCGTGGACCCCTCCCCCGCAAGCGCGACTTCAGGGGAGCGGTGCAAGCCCGCCGGTGTATGATCAGAAAACTGACAAATCTGGTGTTTGCTGAGTTTCCTTTGGAGTTCCTATGGGTTTTCGGGGGCTCCGGATGCTGAATGAATCTGGGGCTCAAGGCCAGGTACTTCTGGGGGGAAGGAGGCTGGTGGTGGAGGTTTTTTACAAATTGGTAACGTGTAATTTTTGAACCGTAAGCACGAGGAAGGTTTGAGAAGGGAATCGTCCTGGATGTTTGACTCAGGGTGGCACAAGATCCTGGCCAGGCCATGTGATGAGATGTGCGCGGCCACGTGTTTTTTTGGTGTAGGTTCTATCGGGACAAGTGGGGCTGTGAAATGGCTGGTCTAGAAGCACATCTTGCATTCTGTGAGACGAGGGGAAAAGTCGGGGGTCCATTGATTGCTGCGGCATCGCCGTCCGTGGTGCAAGCGCCAAGTTCTAGGCGCTGGCTAGATGCTATACTGCCGAAAGGCCCGCAAGTCAGTAGCACAGTAAGCCCCATGCCTTTGTGGCAAGAGGTGCGGCTGTCCATTCGCCAGGCTGAGCCAACAGCAAGTAGGAGCACCTAATGGAGCCGCAAGCAAAGCAAATCACGACCTCCAGGCACGTTTCAGATGGGTGACAGCCTCACCCTTTAACACGATGACTCCTGATAGAGATAGAGGCATTTCAACAAAAACATAAATAAATGTTTCCCCTTGAAAACGCGGCAGTCAGATTGAACCTCTTCGAGTGGCCAACGCCCCCTGTGGCCTTTGGTTCTTGGGCCAGCTGGTTGCGATTTGCGAGCCCGCGCCGTTCAATGCGGCCTGCCCTGGTCCCGTCAAAGCCTCAAAGAAGAGAGGGGGGGGGTCCGGTGGCTGGAGTGGCACGAAGCGCAGCTTCAAGTGGAAATGAACAGATCCGGGAAATGTGAGTCATAAGGACTATCTAAGTTCTCTAGGGACAGGTCTCATCATATTACAATGAGTCGGACATTTGGGTTTGTATGTATGTGTGAGGGAGGCAGAGTTGGTGGGGCGAGAAGGATTAGTTGTGACACGTGCCGTGTGCATGCAACAAAGGACCGCTCATAGACTGCAAAGAGCCGCCCCACAACTAAGACCAAGGGCCTAACTTTGAATTGATAACCAAGAGCAGGCATGAAGTGGCAAGTGCAGAACTTTTGTGGCCAAGCACGAAGGAAGTTGCGGCTCGCGCACTTCGGATGTTAGGGTTTGGGGTGGGTCATGCAAGGGCATGAACTTCAATCAAGCTTGAGTTGGGCCTTTTTCTTCCTTCCTGTTGGAGGGTCAAGCTCAACCCTTCGGAACCGGCAACGCTGAGCTTGGTCACATGTTTTTCGTTTTTGGGTTGAGCATGCGATCTTGCTCGCAGTTTGCTCGCTCGGGGCAACGGCGGTCTGAGCAATGCGCGCACAACAATCGATGTCGCACCATGCGATTCGAAGCTCTGCGATACTTCATGCCAAATTCTGAGTGGCAGTAGCTTCTGGGGCCAATAGATGCGGCTTCCAGCCAAAAAGGAGTTCCCAGTTTGGACACATCACCTGCTTTTTTTGAACCCGTGACTCAGCGCCACGGAAATCCTTTCAACCCGCGACATTTTGTCGCGCTGCAGGTGCCATGGCCGTGTACGGCGGGCGAAGACGCCCGGCGTTTTCGCCGGGGCGCCAGCCGCGCTCAAAGCTCCTCCAAATCCGGCGACGGCAACAGGGAGCGAGCCGCGATGGTTTAGAGCTGCCCGGCAGCATGGTTTTTGTCATTTTTCGTGGTGAACTCAAAAAGACGTCGAACTCGAAAGTGGAACTCTAAATGGAAACAAAGACTATCTGGCGGGTGAATTTTGACCCTCGGGCATTTGGCTATGCCAACCTTGGCAGTCGACAGGGCGGCAGTATCCATGCAGTGTGCGGTTCGACTTTGTCCCATGACCATCTCCCGAGGATGTGGCAATAGCGGGGGGCTGGTATGCCACCCGTAGGCCCCGAGGGCTGACTGGGACCGCGGGGCCTGAAGTCTCCATCGGCTCGAAGACATTTTCTAGAGGAGTCTTCGAGGGGCCTGAGGCTCTACTGTGGATGGACGAAATCCTAGACCAATGTGCAATGGCTTCCCCATAATTTCCAAGTGGTGCAGGATATCGTTCATCCCCAGTAGGTTGGTTTCGGCATGGTTTGGGGCAGGGCCTCTTGGGCGCTGCGTGCAAGAATCCTGGACCTGCGCGAATCAGATAGCGAAAGATGTGTTTTGGAAAGGACCCACAGATCCCGCCAGAGTTCTGAAACATGTGGACTCACACGAATCGCTTGTCTCCTTTGTGTTTTTACCCAATGCGCAACACCATCAAAGTGACAGCCACAAGGCACTCTGTCCTTTTCAGTGATTATTGGCGCGATCGCGTTCCGCCACTGTTCGCAGAACAATGCAATGTCGAAGATGGTGCCAGAAAATGCCAGAGAATCTTCTAAAGGAACCGCTTCCCGAGCAAAAACCCATCATCCAGCCAAGCCACACGTGGGGCTTGCCCATGCTCTCGGGTTTCGGGTTTCGGGCCCTCGGCTTGGACCTGGAGCCAGGCTGGCCGGCGGAAGCGGCGGAAGCGGCGGAAGCGGCGGAAGCGGGCGCCGGCGCTGGGTCAGGCCGGGTCTCGGGGCTGGGTCTCGGGGCGGGCCAGGCGTTAAGAGCCATGGGGAGATGACTTGCCCAAAGCCAATCGACCGAACCTTTTGGCAACAGGTTCACCTTGTATTGCTGGGGCCTTTGGGCAGCTGAGTATGGGTGTCCCCCGTTTTCTGTTAATTGTTTTAAGGGAAACCAAAAGGACAACCGCCAGTTTGTGGGTCCACCACAAAAAGAGCAGGTATTGGCAGGGCGCGGCTGGTTGTTCTGTTGGGCCCTTGGAAACACGTGCACGGTGGCTTGTAAGATGCTGTCTATGTTTGGGTGTTTTCTTGCAGAAGGTCGGTTGCAGCAGATAGCTTGTCGGGCCAAGTCGGCTGGCCAGGTCAGCCAAGGCCTCTTGAGGGAATATGTTATGAGAACCGGTGGATGTTTTGGACCATGTTTTACCACCCTTTCTGTTCCACTTTGCTGGTGGCATGTCATATGATACCATGTTACACTGTTGTGAAGCCAGCTCAGCACACCAAATCCTGCTCTTTTCCCAGCGGAAAGCAACTTGGCACCTGGAAACCAATGCGAGCGCCCAAAACAGCTTGCTTTTGATTGTCATGGTTCGGTCCTTGCTTGGTTCCCAACAGCTCATGTTTCGCGTTCAGGCCGCGGGCAAGCAAGTTTCTGCCCAGGACCAGGTAAACGATTGCCAGATCGCCAGGCGCCTTTCGCCCTTCTTTGCCTTCGCGGCGGTTTTTCTGCTTGGCCTGGACCCCGGAGGTCAAACCAGCAATGCTGCCCAGGGCCTGCGATCTTGCTGAGGTCAGAAGTCAGCGCTGGCGAGTGGCACGGCACCCCGGGCGCTGATGGAGACTGACACGCTGACAAACTGTCGGTCCAGACAATCAACGAGTGCTGTTGATTCGTTTTCATGTTTGGTGCCGTATCGTACCATGTGTCAGCTATGGCGTATGCATACGACCACCCTACCCTGAACCGGTTGAAGGCACCCTGGCTTCGCGTACAGGACCCAGGGTCGCATTGATGCTTGCCCCGTTCTTTGTCCCCATTCCCAACACAAGTTGGCAATCGCCCAGCACTTGCCCTGGACAGAGAAAACCGCCATGCTCAAATGAGCCACAATCAAAACCCGGGCAGATGAAGGTTAGGGGCAGTCCCAGCCATAAATAGCTGCGGATATCCGCCTTCTTACTTCTTGAAGCATGCTTCTGGGTCGAGCATTTTAATCCCGGGCTTTGAGCAAGTGACTCAAATGGAGCGCTTCAAATACCGGGTGCCCAAAAGGCCCAAAATGGAACCCTGAATAATGGACCCAAGGACTAAAATCTGCGTTCCCCTTGTTCTAATTTTGACCAGCCAAATGGAGTCCTTCTCGTGGTTCTCAAGCCTCAGGCCTGCCGGTGGTGGAGCGCTGTTTGGTGGACTTTCTGAAGGCCGGGTCCTTTCAAAAATTCCGGGTAGATGAAGGGACGAGCGTCTTGCCATAAATGGGTGCGAACATTCGCCTGGTTACGACCGTACCATTCTGTACCATTTATATTTAAAAAAAGAAGCCCTTGCCATAAATGGGTGCGAAAATATCAGTCTTTTTTTTTGCGACTGTGCCATTCTGTACAATTTTAATACACAGGGGTTTTGATGATGTGCGAAATCAATCCGCACGACCTGCAAGATCCGACCAGATGGTGGTTTGCCTTGTTTGTCCGACTTGGGACCAGAGTCAGGAATTCCCATTGACCCCCCACACCTGACAAAATGCTCTCAAGAGGTAGCCCAAGATAGGCCCTGTGTGTGTCCATCACCCTTTGCAAGTCCCATATCTCTTGCGCATTTTGTTAGGGAGCTGTGAAAATGCGATGTGCCAACAGTTCGCCGCGGAAACACTGACACGCATCCCAGCCCAATGAAACAGGTTCCCACATGCCTAGCTGGTTCGCGGCATTCAGTTGTTTCGGCAAAATTTGCTGGGGAAACCACTACAAACCCGAGAGGCAGTAGATGGAGCCTTGCCAGTTCCCGACTTGCATGACGTGCGCTCCTGGTGGGTAAAGCGCGCATTCCTGCAGGGAAGCACGAGCCGAAAGCCATTGTTGAGGGTTGGTCCTCTAAAGAAACTTGAGGATACATCAAAGTGCTGAACGCCGAGATGTCAACTCCCTTGCCGACAGTTTGCAGGGTTGCGAGTTGGGCGAAACGGCAAGGCAGATGGAGGGACGCATTTTCACCCCAAGGAATTTCAGGGGCAAGGATGTTTTCTTCATGAGAGAAAGGCACTGCCCAAGCCATTTTCTGCTTCGGCCGTGGTGCAGGGAGGAATTCCCCAATTAGTGATTTTGGGCAATGCTGCATGAAGCGGGCCATTGCTGGTTGCGATGGGTTTTTCGCGTGTGCCATGGATGGTTAGCAACAAGATGTTGTTCCAGCCGGAATGTTTTCTATTCGCCTTGGGGTCGCCGTGGTATGCGGTGCAACTGAACAAACAGTTTGGACTTCAGAGCTGCGTTGCCTTGTGTGACTAGGCAGTCTTTCCCCAGCTTCCTGCTCAGAGGCCGTGCGGCATTACGTGGCCTTCTCTATCAATGACCTGCGGCTGCCTTGGGATAGAGGGCCAGCCCCGTGCGGCACGGTTATGTCAACGCATGCAGCATACCCCCCCCCCCCACCAATGTAGAGAGGTAGAGAGATGGAGCGATGGATGGATGGACGGATGGATGGATGGATGGATGGAGGGATGGACGGATGGATGGGTGGGTGGGTGGTGGACATGCCAGATTGACAGATTGGTCGATCGACTGGACAGCTAGATGCATCCCTTGTAGGAGAGTGTCCAGCCGGTGACTTGTTGTTGTTTGTTGTTCAAAGTTGTAAAGCAAAAGCAAGAGTGCCCTCTCATGAAGACATTTGCCCCCGAGCCCGCCAGGGTGAGGAGCTTTATCACCGAAGGTTGCAGTGGCTGGGGGTGGGGGCTATTTTCTTAAAGCCGCATGTCTGACACCGGCGATGGGTAGGTCAAGGATGCATACCCGAAGTATTTGCCGCCTGTTTTTCGGCGCATGGAGCCTGCCTAACGGGCCGGCGGCGGGGCTGAGGTTGATCCTTCTCTTTTCCACCACCCTGGTGGTGCCTTTGATGAAGCGCCTCCGCACCTCGCAGGGGGCACAGATTTGTGCGGTAAGGGAAAGCGTGCCCCAAGGGGTTGTGGAGAAAATGGAAAGGGGAGAAGGGAGCCTCAACGAGCCCGGAGGGGCAGGCGGCAGGCTTCAGGCGGCAATCAAGTTCTATGACTCCAGTTGGGGCTTGGTTGTGCTCAAGTTTCATCGGCAGCACTCTAGGAGCAACAAGCCCAATATGTTCGCACGGCATTTGCGGGGCGGACTGGGGCAGGGGCAGTTTGGATGGCAGGCACCGGCCGCAGCGGCTCGGCTGAGTCTCATCAAGTGGGTTCCTGCGCCAAGGCAACCGCAGTCTTCCGCACGCATGGTGCCCATATTCTTACCAGGCAGAGCTCCGAGGACTCGGAAGATGTCAATGCAAGTGCACATACTTGACATCAACCCCCTAGCTTCCCGCGTGTAGAAGCTCTCTTCGCCCAGGCTGGAAGGTTGTTTGAGAATAACTGGGGCTCTGGCGGAGTAACGCGTCTTTACGCCATGTCGCTGCCCACGGATCGCAGCGGCACAGTGAAAGCCGACGATTTCTGGCGCCTCGGCAAATCAGCAGGGCGTTTTCTTGGGAAGGCAGGGGGTTCAAAATGTGTCACCCCTCGACGTTTAGACTGTGAAGGGCCCCCTTGTTGAAGGGATGTCAGCAGGCAGACCTTGCTAGTCCATTCTCGAAATCTGCCGGGGGGGAAGGGGGGGAGGGGTTTGGGAATTGCAATCAGGGTCTTGAGAGGCCCCACCTTGCTTGTGGCTGGCTGGCAAAAAGCGACTTAAAGGGGTAGGGTATTTGCTACCTACTTCATGGTTATAAGTTATAAGTTATAAGTCTCCTAAGTGGGTTGTAACCAGGCTTACTAAGCACTTACTAAGAACCCTGCCCCGTCCAAGTAGTCTGTTGTTTCCACTGTTCAGGTTGCAATTCCGGCCTCGTGGACTTTGAGGTAACAGCTCGACACATGTCTCAACCCTTTGTGGGTTGCGCACAGATAGGAACACAATCCCCCCAAAGAAGGGCCGCTACTAGAGCTCCTTGTTGCGTTACGAGGATGCCAACCACTAAGCAAATACTGTATATAGATTTAGATTGACAATTGAAAGCAAGCCCTCCTATTGTCCCGATATCACCAACACCCACGATTTGCAGCGTCCTGAACCAGTTTTGGGTTAACTCCAGCATGCCGGGCGCCAACTGGCGTCATTTGGTCCGTTTCTGGCATGCTACCAGCTTTGCAACCGTATTTTGTTCTTTTGCGTGTAGATCTAATTGGGGGTGTGTGCCTTTGCAAAGGGGCGGTACATCCCTTTGACGTGCACAAACTAAACAAGAGCTGTATGTTACCGAGGGAGCGCCGATTGGCAAGTGTTGGCGGGGAATGGCGGACACCGCTTCCTGATCCTCAGACAGTTTCTTTTTGGTTGACTCATTTGTCGTTTTTCCTGGCGGCGTATTTGGGCCAAAAAGCGGGTTGGTGCCCAACAAACAAGGTGGGGGATACCTGCTAGGAAAGCGGTGGTCAAGAAAGACGTCGCGGTCCGCACAGTGGAGAAGATCCATGGCATGAACGTGACCCTTCGGAGTCTGCGTGCAGTGTTTTTTTTTCCCCCTGGTTGTGTGCGGGTGGGTGGGTCTGATGAACTTCACCCTTCCATTTGGTTAAGAGTATTTTTTTTTATTTTCCCCTGTTGGTTTTAAAGGGAATCTATCACAAGTGGAAATATTTGCTTTTTTTTCCAGGGGACTTAAGCAAATGGAGGATGCGTGATCTCAACAGTAAGGCTGGCGTCTTGGGTTATCCAAGCGCACGTTTGCCGCGAGCATCTATTTTCTCATTTGTGCCACCCTGACTATGAATGATTCAGACAGAACAGCAATGAGTCTTCAACCGCATTGCGTGGCACAATGCCAGGCAAGCCACTTAACACATGTCCTTGTTCACAACGAGGCTGTAGGTGTCAACCTTTTCATCCTTCTTGTGTAGTTTCAGAAATCTTAACAGGAGGTGTTGCCATGCTCGTGTTGCTGCACAAATTCGGAGAACTGGAGGCGGCAGATTGAGTCGCTTCAAGCAAATCTCTAGAAAGGATTTGGATGCCCCTGGGAACGTCTGCCTGGACAAATCAGCATGCGGACGGCGGGTGGCACACAAGTCAAGAGCATACATTGGAGCACAAGGCTTTGTTTCACGGGGGGGGGGGGGCTCCCTCCCTCCCCCCCTCCCTCCCCCGCAGCCGCATGCGCCTTTCCCGCAGCCGCTTTGGCGCCAAGCGGCCGCGAAGCCGGCTTCCTCGAGTCTTCGCCGTCGCCCCTCGGCGGGATGGTGGGTTTTTTGGTGGCACGGACGTGTTGCCATGCGGATTTCGCCGGACATGTTCCTCTGCTTGGGTGTTTTTGGCCGGCTCCGTTTCATTTTGCAGCTCATTGGGTGTGTCCAGGAATGAGTTGGGCGTCTGGGAAAGGCCAAGCCTTTGATTTGGAGGGAAATTTGTCTTACATGAGTGGCCGAAAGAAATCGGTGCGGGATTGGTGAGGGGAATAAGAGACTGGTGTCTTTTAAGGTAAGATAGTTCCAGAGTTCCATACATTTAGTGACATGCTGAAACCCGCCCTTGGGTTTGAAGGGTGGTTGACCCCCCCCCCCCTCCCCCCCGTAAGAGGGAAGAGTATGTATAATGTGCCGGGGAGGGGAGAGGTCTGGGCATCAACATCACACTGAGAGCTGGCTTTCAGGCAGATCTTGTATAGGAATTGATTTCATAAAATTGCAAATCTTAGTCTGAGAAATTGGCTTCCAGGGGAATTTGGTAGGAATGAAATTGCAAATATTACAAATTAATTTGTAAGGTAAAGAAAATATTCTCCAAAATAACAAATATTACAAATTTTACAAATTCTAGTCTGAGAAATTAGCTTCCAGGGGAATTTGGTAGGAATTAAATTACAAATTTTACAAATTTTACAAATTTTACAAATTAATTTGTAAAATTTGTAAAATAGCAAAAAAAACTGGCCCAAAATTACAAATTTTACAAATTAATTTGTAAAATTTGTAAAATATCAAAAAAATCTGGCCCAAAATTACAAATTTTAATTCTAGTCTGAGAAATTAGCTTCCAGGGCAATTTGGTAGGAATTAAATCACAAATTTTACAAATTTTACAAATTTTACAAATTTTGCAAATTAATTTGTAAAATTTGTAAAATTTGTAATTTTGGGCCAGATTTTTTTGATATTTTACAAATTTTACAAATTAATTTGTAAAATTTGTAAAATTTGTAAAATTTGTAAAATTTGTAAAATTTGTAAACTTTGTAAAATTTGTAATTTAATTCCTACCAAATTCCCCTGGAAGCTAATTTCTCAAACTAGAATTTGTAAAATTTGTAAAATTTGTAATTTTGGGCCAGAGTTTTTTGATATTTTACAAATTTTACAAATTAATTTGTAAAATTTGTAAAATTTGTAATTTTGGGCCAGATTTTTTGATATTTTACAAATTTTACAAATTAATTTGTAAAATTTGTAAATGTAAAATTTGTAAAATTTGTAAAATTTGCAATTTAATTCCTACCAAATTCCCCTGGAAGCTAATTTCTCAGACTAGAATTTGTAAAATATCAAAAAAATATGGCCCAAAATTACAAATTTTACAAATTAATTTGTAAAATTTGTAAAATATCAAAAAAATCTGGCCCAAAATTACAAATTTTACAAATTTTACAAATTCTAGTCTGAGAAATTAGCTTCCAGGGGAATTTGGTAGGAATTAAATTACAAATTTTACAAATTTTACAAATTTTACAAATTAATTTGTAAAATTTGTAAAATAACAAAAAAATCTGGCCCAAAATTACAAATTTTACAAATTAATTTGTAAAATTTGTAAAATATCAAAAAAATCTGGCCCAAAATTACAAATTTTACAAATTTTACAAATAGTCTGAGAAATTAGCTTCCAGGGGAATTTGGTAGGAATTAAATTACAAATTTTACAAATTTTACAAATTTACAAATTTTACAAATTAATTTGTAAAATTTGTAAAATATCAAAAAATCTGGCCCAAAATTACAAATTTTACAAATTTTACAAATTCTAGTCTGAGAAATTAGCTTCCGGGGGAATTTGGTAGGAATTAAATTACAAATTTTACAAATTTTACAAATTTAAACAAATTTTACAAATTAATTTGTAAAATTTGTAATTTTGGGCCAGATTTTTTTGATATTTTACAAATTTTACAAAGACGAATGGGCTTGCAGTCCATCATGGCAAGAAGCAGATGATTAAAATCTGGCAACATTCCCTTAATACTCCCCTAGTATTTCCTCAGTATTCCCGTATTCTCCTCGTATTCTCCTTTAGTATTCCTGTAAATTTCCCTGAATGGTTTGCTAGTATTCCCCTAGTATTCCCCCAGTATTCCCCTAGAATTCCAGTATTCCCCTACTTTTCTCCTAGTATTGCCCTAGTATTCCCCTAGAACCCCTAGATTCAAGATTTCCAGAACAATATTATTTCCAAATTTTGAATCTTGAATTTGTAAAATTTGTAAAATTTGTATATTTGTAAAATTTGTAATTTAATTCCTACCAAATTGCCCTGGAAGCTAATTTCTCAGACTAGAATTAAAATTTGTAATTTTGGGCCAGATTTTTTTGATATTTTACAAATTTTACAAATTAATTTGTAAAATTTGTAAAATTTGTAATTTTGGGCCATATGTTTTTGATGTTTTACAAATTTTACAAATTAATTTGTAAAATTTGTAAAATTTGTAATTTTGGGCCAGGTTTTTTTATATTTCACAAATTTTGCAAATTCATTTGTAAAATCTGGAAATTTCACTTTTTACACATGTACTTGCGACATTTTGTGAAATGCTTAATTGTTAACCATATTTGTTGGAATTTGGCATAGTTCAGAAACTAATCTGCAAAATGTGTATAACTTGTAATGTAACTCCAGCCAAATCTCCCCGGAAAGCAAAT